AGGGTGGCAGCCGAGTGAGAAACAGGATACCTGACTCAACACTGGCCTTCCCAGTGGGAAGCCTCCAGGGCCAGCTTTTCACAAGTGGCTCTGAATGTCTTTCACAAGCTTGTTTTCACTTTTGCTGTGGTTAACGTCAGTTGTCAGCACTTTGCTGACATGTATAAGTACAGGAACAGGTTAGTCAGTCAGTCAGTTCAGCAGTCTGCTCATTCATGCAACAAAAATGACCAAGTGCCTTCCACGGGCCGGACCAGGGACACAAGGGTGATCATGACAGACCTGGGCCTTGAGCTCAGAGAGCCATATTCCAGCAGACAGATGGACAAGACAAATGATGACTGCGCCTTCAGAGAAGCGTGGTGAAGAAAACTGGGGTGCCGTGGTAAAGAAGGGTGGGAAAGCACTCCAAATGGAAGGACCTTGTGGTGAACTAAAGCAAGGATGAGAAGGAATGGCCCAGGCCCAGGCCTGGAAGAGTCTTCCAGAGTGGGAATGTTCGAGGAGCCTTCAGGAGGCCAGGGTGACAGCCTTCAGGAGGCCAGGGTGACAGCCCTCAGGGTGACAGCCCTCAAGAGGCCAGGGTGACAGCCCTCAGGAGGCCAGGGTGACAGCCTTCAGGAGGCCAGGGTGACAGCCCTCAGGGTGACAGCCCTCAGGAGGCCAGGAGGCATTTGTGAATTCAGCAGTGCCTGAAGGTCTCAGCGTGTAAAAGCTGAGGGTCTTTGGTTCATTTGAGTTTCTTACCTGCACACTATGGACATATTGGTGCCAGACAGTTCTTTATAGGGAGAGGGGGGCTATCCTTGCACTGTGGGTGACGTAGCAGCATCCCTGGATTCTACCCCACCCCCTAGATGCCAATAGCACCTCCCCGCGCAGTCTATCAAAAATGCCTCCAGACACGGACAAAGACCCCAGGGGCACAGCTGCTCCCCCGACCCACCCTTCAAGAACCACTGCTGTAGAGAGACATGGCAAGGCAGCGCACAGCCTAGACACTTCAAATAAACTAGAGCCAAAACGAACCTCTAAACACTTCATGTTCATTAGGGGTACACTGTTGGCAGCTGGGAGCTGAAATGGGCACTCACAGTCGTCTTGTGGTTCCAGAGCCCGCGTGCTGCACCCAGTGGGGCTCAAGGATGCTATAGGATGATGGGGGACTTCTTTACCCTCCCGAGGCTCCTGCTATCCAGGCAAGGCGTCAGTCCTACAGGCAGGCAGTCAGGACTGGCCGCAGGAGCGGGCCCGTGGGGGTGTGAGGGCCACAGGCAAGAAAAGGGGGCTGCGGGGAAGTGGGGAGAGGAGGGCCGTGTTCCGCTGCTGTGTGGCAGCTGTGGGGCCAGCCTCCCAGGAAGTGAAGTGGCAGGAAGCTGGAGAACTAAGCCCCACTGCAGTCTCAGGAAAGGATCTCTACGTATGACGGCTGTAGGAGCCTGGAGGCGCACTGGTTAAGCGCTCGGCTGCTAACCAAAAGGTTGGTGGTTGAACCCACCAGCCGCTCTGGGGGAGAAAGATGAGGCAGTCAACTTCTGTAAAGACTGACAGCCTTGGAGATGCCATGGGCAGCTCCACTTTGTCCCATAGGGGTGCTCTGAGTTGGAATCAACTCTGTGGTAGCGGGTTTTAACGGGCAATACAAACAGTTAACACACTTGGCTGCTAACCCAAAGGTTGAGGGTTTGTACCCACCCAGAGGGGCCTCCTAAGAAAGGCCTGGTGATCACCTTCTGAAAAAATCAGCCATTAAAAGCCTATGGAGTGCTAGTCCGACAACCTAGCGGAACTCCAAGACTGTGGCCCCTAGATGCCCTTCAGGTCTGGAATTGAACCCACTCCTGTGGCTTCCGGCCAAACAAAAGACAGGCATATCAGCTGAACATTTACTTGAGGTAGATACACTCCTTGGAGAGATCAATCTTGGGAGAATAGAAGGGCTGTGTATGCACAGGGACACAGCTCGGGGGCAGGAGTGCATGGCGGGAAGGGCACAGGGAAGAGGTAACTATGGGGAGGAAGTGGGAGGGGAGCTGTTGCATTGTGGGAAATTCCAGTCAATGTCATGAGACAAAGTGTATGTGAGCTATTGTATGGAAAGCGAATTTACTCTGTAATCTTTCACTCAAATCACAATAAAATGAACAACAACTGAAACCCCTATGGAGCACAGCTGTACTGGGACACACTCAGGGTTGCTGACTGGAGTGGACTCCCCAGCAGCTGGTCTTATCCGTGTTGTGGCTGCTGCGGGCTAACCTGAGTTCCTGCGATTCTCCCCCTGTTGCTCCCCAGTGCTCTAGGGAGCTCGGGGCAGATTCTCTCTGCCTCACCACCAACCCCGTGGCCTCACCCACTGACGTGCACAGGGCAGTGGTCATGGTGTCTGCCAACGATTTTCTGACAGCTGGCAAAGGAAGCAGGAGGCGGCTAAGCTGCAGAAGCAGCCACTGAGGCTGCGAATTCAGTGCTGGTTCCTTCAAAAGCACTGGCAAGCAGCTTCCGCGAGAACCAGCCGGCGGGTGGTGTGCTGCAGGTCCTGATCCACCCCATCTGCTATTTTCAGCCACTTCAGCCCTGAGCTCCCAGTAAATGGGGAGCCAGGCATGCCCATCCTGAGGGCATTTCCTGGGAGATGTACAGCTGTGTTCAGCACCAGCCCTGAGAAGGTTTGGGGTCTGAGCCTCCTGCAAGGCTCATCTGCCCATTAAGAATATTTTGGGTGGAATGATGTAAGGTAAAGCACACATACCTGTCAGCCGGAAGGGGAAAAGAACACACACTGGGCAACAGAGAGCTTGGGAGAGGCTCTGCCTTGGAAAAGACCAGGTTACGGGCTGGTGCACATTCCAGAACAAAGACACACACAGTATCTTGGGCTCCCACAGTGGCCAGAGCAGGGTGCTGCCCGCTTGCGCTGATCAGGGCCTGCGGGAGACACAGAGCAGCACCTGCAGGAAAGTGAGCTCCGAGCTCACCTGGGTTCAGTGGGTGATGGACCTCACACCCTTGCTTTCAGTGGGGAGCCAATTTCCCACGGTGGCAAACCCCACTGCTGCAGGTCAATCCTGACTCATAGTGACCCTACAGGACAGAGCAGAACTGCCCCACATGACTGTAATCTTTATGGAAGCAGATTGCCACATCTTTGTCCAGTGGAGAGACTGGTGGGTTCAAAGCGCTGACCTTTTAGTCAGCAGCCAAGCCCCTTAGCCACTGTGCCTAGGGCTCCTTTCCCAGTTTGGCAGAGGTACGAAGTCTTAGGAGGAAGGCATTATCTCTTCTCAAAACTCTGACCATCACCTCCTGGTTAGTCCCCCCTCATCCTCAACACTATCCACCTGTCCCTCCACCTCTCCTCACAGGGAAGATAAGAGAACACAAGCACTTGTCTTTGGAAAATGCGCAGAGTTGGCCTTCCAACACAGATCACCAAAACGAAACATGTAAGAAATGGAGGAGAGTAAAAAAACAAGAGGGTCCAGAAGCTGTTAGGCCTAACTCAAACCCTGAAGGCGCAAGAAACTGGAGCTCCCAGTATTTTCCTTCCCCAAACTGTCATGACATGACACTTTTCCTTATGTCTGAGTTAGTTTATGTATGTTGTAAGAAGCAGCAGGAACTGTGGTGACTTTATGGACAGTGTGGTCATTTCATTGCTGATACTGAGAAGGCTTACACAATCCCACCGACAATAGGGACATCATCCGTTCCATTTCAAGGTTCACAGAAGACGCCTGATGAGTTACAGAAGGGGTGGAGGCTTCTTAGCTCCTCTCGTGAGGCTCAGGGAGGGAGACCCAGCAGGACGCCCTAGCGTGAGGGAGGCTTTGCCAGCTGGCTCAGAGCTGCCTCCTCAGCCGCCCTATCCCAGCTCTAGATCAGCGAAGGCAGCAGAACAGAGCCGGGATCCCAAGACCAGGAAGGGGGTGCAGAGCAAGGCAGCTGTTTAACGCATGGTAAGTGCCGGAAGAGTGTGCCAAGTGGTACAAATGGTGAATGTGCTCAGCTCCTGACCGAAGTCGGAAGTTTGAATCTACCCAGGCGTGCCTTGGAAGAAAGCCCTGGCAATCGACTTCAGAAAATCGCCACTGAGAACCATACGGAGCACTGTCCTACTCTGACACACACAGGGTTGTCATGAGTCAGAAAGTTCCAGAAAAGAAGACTCTCGCTACCTAAGGCAGTATGCTCTTCTGTGGGAATGTTGGCAGCAGCGGGAGTCAAGTCATTTGATTATTCCAATCCTCCACCTACTGGTCTGGGCAAGCGGCCCTAGTGCCATAACCACGACCAACATTGTACTACACAGAAAAGATAAGCAGCATGTGTGTGTGTGCGTGCACGCGCATGGGGGGTATAACAAGACATCAATCATTCTAATTGTCCTAATTGCACACTCCACCAAATGGAAGTTTCAGCATGCTTTCGCTGCCTCTTGCACCAGACAAGACCATAAAAGTTGTGCAATCTAAAATTCAGCTCAAAACCAAAGCAGCCTCCAACTCCTGAGGTCAGCAAAACCGGAGTCAACAGCTGTCAGTCACGCTCCATCTGAAAGCACACTTGTAAGCAGCCCCGAGATAAACATTATAAAGACACAGCAAGTCAAGTTGGTGCAAATAACTCCAGCTAAACGGAGGCAAGAGAGCTGGGGAGAGGCTTTCTCTTGGGAATGACTGCATTACAGGCTGCTGTACATTCAGGAACTAAAAAGCGGCTAGGATCTCGAGCTCCCAAAGGAGCAAGAAGAGAGTGCTGCCCACCTCGCGCACTCCCTGATAAACACCTAAGAAGTGAACCAACCCGAGGCTCTTGGGACGCATCCTGAGCCTTGACGTCAGCAGAGGATGCTGTTGAGTCTAGCCCCGCCCCCCAGCAGCCCAGGCACTGCCCTCTCTAGCAGACACGGGCCCTGCTGTGGACAGACCCCGTCCCCAAAGTAAAACTCACGTAGGGAGAGTAAAGCTCCCCCGTCTCGGTGATTTCACCCGCCATTTTCAGAAGTCAGGAGGGGTCCGGCAGCCAAGGTTCCTCCTGTGCAGGGGCCTAGGGGCTGCTGCTGCTGCTGCCGCCACCACCTGAGACAAAAGAGCAGACAGAACGCTGGTAATGGACCTGGGTGGGGAGGGCCGTTTGCAGGCTCCCCCCACCACCTCGTGTCCCTTTATCACAGACACTGGCTGCCTTAATTGTCTGTTACAAGACGCCCTGGAGGGAGGGACATCCCTTGTGAAGTCAGGGTGTTGCTTCGTTTTTTTCCCTTGCTATGCAGGGCACTGCTCCGTGCACAGACTACTTCATTCAACGCTGTTTGGATTTCAAGTGACAGAAGGCGCCCCAGAGGTCTTTAAGTTTCATCAGGCAACTCTGAGGGGCTCTCCCCCTTTGAGTCCAGGAACAGCAGCCTCACCACCACACAGGGCAACCCGAGTAGCTGTGCTGTCTACGCCTGGGGGACAAGCTGGTGGCTTTCCTAGGTCGCTCCTGCAACTCAACTCCTCGCCACAAAGCCTTTCTTTTTTAACGGGGCCTCCGCTCCTCGACCCCCACCCAGACTTCTGGGTTATGCCTAGGGTTCCCCCATGCCCAAGCCTCCCTCTCGTCTCAAGAGTCCTGCTCCAAGCCTCTCCCTCTCTCTCCTTCCCGGAGGAGCCCAAGTCTGGCGCCGCCTCGCTCCGCCTGCCCGGCCCGACACCTACAGCGCAGCTCGCTCCCGGCCGCTGCCGGCGCCTTCGGCCCCACCGCTGCTACCGGTGCCAGCTGTCTTGCACCAGCGCCTGCAGCGCGCATGCGCCCGCGCCGGGAGCCCATCTTTTCCGCACGCGCCTGGAGCCGGGCGGAGCGCGCTGATTGGGCCCCTTGAGGAGGCGGGACCGGGATTGGGCCCTGGCGGCTCCCGTTTGCGTGGCGGAAGTGGTGGGGGCGCGCTTCCCCGTGCCTGCAGGACTGGGTGGGCGTAGGTTGTGTGGGGAATCCTTAATAGCTGGATCATCTTCTGCTCCGGATGTGCTTGTCTGTGGAGTGTGGGTGTAAATTGTCAGCGGCTCCCGTGGTTGGGGGTCGAGAAGAGCAGTGTATAGCTCATTCAAAGGGGAGAACCTGAAAAGTTAAGCCGGCCTCACCCCCTAGTGGTCTGGGCCATCCGGCTTGCGGGGCGCGGAAGAGGGAGAGCCAGAGCCAACTGGGGTGGTCGCTGGAAGAGTGTTTGTAGATAGATTTAATGTAGGGCTGAAAGTTGAGGCTAGGGTGTAGTCTCCTACCTCTGACAGTGATGCTGGTTTGGGGGATGGGGTGGACAGGTCTTTGGGATGCGAGTCAGGGACTGTTTATTCTTAAGCAGCGCTATTCCCCTCTTGCAAGGGGTTTAGAGTTCGTGTTCTTTGAAGTGTTGGAGGGAAAGCAGGAGAGTACTTGTGTGTTGTCAAATCCATTCTGTCTCAGCAATTCTATAGGACAGGGTAGAACAGCCCATGAATTTTCTAGGCCATAATCTATATGAGAGCAGATGACCAGGTCTTTTCTTCCGCTGAGCCACTGGTGGGTCTGACCTTTAGCAGCGAGCACTTAACCATGGCGTCACCAGGGCTCCGCATCTCTGCACGACTTTAGCAAACAGAGAACCTGGACTCCCACCCTATGTGGGAGGAAGCTCCCAGTACTGAAATCTGCCCTCCCCACCTACAGGTTGCTACCATGTGGTTGAATCAGAACACCTTGCTGCTGGGGAAGAAGGTGGTCCTGGTGCCCTACACCTCAGAGCATGTGCCCAGGTAAACCGTTGCTGCCTGAAATGGGGCACTGCTGCACCCCCACTCAGGGTTGTGTAAGCCTGTCCTCCTAGGCACAGCGAGGAGGGCCAGCCTTCCTAGGCCGAATCTCAGAGGCTGTTTGCTCTGAGAAGGGGAAATGTAGGTGGTGAGAAGGAACAGCACACAGGAAAAAGTGAAAGCTGAGGCAGAGGGGTCTGACTTTCCTGGAGGAAGCTGCCCATCTCCCTGTTTCTTCCTTTCACCCTTTCAGCTTCCATTTTGGACTTTCAGCAGGGAATTGTTTTACATAAACAAAACATGTCAAAGGAGCTCTGGTGGTGCAGTGGCTAAAGCATTCTTTTGGCTGCTAACCAGAAAGTCAGTGGTTCGAACCCACCAGCTGCCATATGGGAGAAAGATGAAGCAGTCTACTTCCGTAAAGATTTACAGCCTTGGAAACCCATGGGGCAGTTCAGCTGTGTCCTATAGGATCACTAAGAGTCAGAATTGCTGCCGCTGTGGGTTTGGTTTTTTAAAATGTGTGTAAGAAAGGAAGCAAATTTGTCATCTCACCAACTGTAGGTTAGTGACGTTCCCTGGTGTTAGTGAACATGCTCTGTTCCCAGAGACTTAATGTGACCAGTAAAAGTGACAAAACAGTAGCCATCAGTCTGTTCTGACTCATGAACCCGTGTGTGTCAGTAGCACAGTGCTCTGTGGGATCTTCAGTGGGTGATTTTTTGGAAGTAGATTGTCAAGGCTTCAGGGCATCCCTGGGTGGACTCGATCTGCCAGCCTTCTGGTCAGCGGTGGTGTGTGTGAGCCGTTGGCACCTAGGACCCAGGACCTCAACTTATTGTCAACCCGTCCTAAAGCTCTGGGCTGATGATTTTTGATGTCCGCTTGTTTGAAAGGCCAGGACTGGGACGCAGGGTGGGACTCTGGTGGGGGGCAGTTGGTGGACTCCTGGCAGATTGGAGGGTGGTGGTGGTGGTGTGTGGGAGGGTTCTCCATTTGTGGGTTTGCTTTTGCGGGTTCCTGGCACCCTGCCTTTGTGGGGATCTGTTGTTGTTGTTGTTATGTGCTGTCGAGTCAAACCCGACTCATAGCGACCCCTCCTTGGGTTTCCGAGGCAGTATCACTACGGAAGTAGATTGCCCAACCTTCCTTCCGAGGAGTGGCTGGGGGATCTGTAGGGCCGTCTTTGCTGAGGTTTGCCTTCCTCTCAGGAATCTGAGGAATGTTCAGTTTCAGACTGCTCCCTCGCACTGACCCCTGAGGGAGGATGGGAAGCTGGATCGAACAGACCCTTCTCACTGCTCTCTTGTGGGGTTAGCCTGATTCTAGGTCTTGTGCCCGTGGCCACCTGCCTTAGGAGCAGCCATGATCCTTTCTTTGGGTCTTTTATGAGCCTGTGTTAACCCTAATGAGCCCTCAGCTGCACATGGAAAGGTCCATGATTTGAACTCATCTGCTAATCCACTGGAGAAGGTTGTGGTGCCCTGCTTCCATGAAACCTACGGGGCAGTTCTACTCTGCCCTAAGGGCTGCTCTGAGTTGGAATCAGCTCTGGGGCAAGATGGGGACAACAGGCTTGGTTTCCTTTGTCAGCCCTGTGGGACCCTCCCCCACCATCCTCATCTCCTAAAATGCCCACGGTGCCTCTGAATCAGCCCTGCATGTCTCAGGCCGTCCCTCTGCCCCTGCAGATACCATGAGTGGATGAAATCCAAGGAGCTGCAGCGGTTGACGGCCTCGGAGCCGCTGACCCTGGAGCAGGAGTACGCGATGCAATGCAGCTGGCGGGAGGACGCGGACAGTGAGGAGCAAAGCCCCGGCCGGGCGGGAGGGCCAACCCCACAGGCAGATTCCCTCCCTCTAGATAAAGATCTCCTGGGACCACAAAAGCTTCTTGAAAACCCTGGAAGCTTCCAGAAACCCTTGTACTCATGCCTGCCGAAGCCGATGCTTCTCCCCTCTACTCCCTGCACCAGGCCTGCCCTGCAAGGATTTAGACAAAGTAAAGGCTCTTGGGTTCTGGCCATGGTGCTGCGCCTCCGTGGGTCCTCAGCTTTCTGAGAGCGCAGGTGCCATTTGGAGAAGGCTATGTTCCACTGCACAGGGCAGATTGGAGGCTTACAATGAGGTACAGGGTGCTCTCGGCCCCTTTTCTCCTGTCAGCCTCCGATGATGGTGTTCTGCAGCTCCCTGGCTTGGTAGGAACAGGGTCTTCACCTCCCTCTTTTGGGGAGCACGGTGGTAACCTGTCTGCTCTCCTTAGAGTGTACCTTCATTGTGCTGGACGCAGAGAAATGGCAGGCCCAGCTGGGCGCTGCCGAAGAGAGCTGCATGGTGGGCGACGTGAACCTCTTCCTCACAGACCCGGGGGACCCTGCCATGGGGGAGATCGAGGTCATGATTGCGGGTTCGTTGCTTCCCTTCCCTTCCGGCCCTCAGTGCTGCGGGCCCTTCAGCTTGCTGGGTTCGTGGAGCACTCAGACCACAAGCTCTGCGGGCGACCTGAGACCTGCCTGGGGCAGGCTGCCTGCTTGCGTCCCTTAGCCTGTTGGCTCACCCCTGTGCTTGTCACTTGATTCTCGTCATATGAACTTAACCTTTGGTTTTAGGGTCTTCAGAATTCGTTCTGCCCATCCTTGGGGCGAGAGAGACCTCCCAAGGAGGTCTTCTCTCCAAAGAGGTCTTCCAGATCTTCCCTGGAGTGTTCTCCATGCTGTGGGAGGGGCCTCTGCATTCTCTGCTTCTCTCTCAGTCCTCAGCCTTCCCCTAAGGGGGGCAGCAGACTGCAGCTAAGGCAGTCAACCTTGGAGTCAGACTCCAGGGAAGGCCAAGCTGTGAGACCTTGGCTGAGTCATTTAGGTTTTCTGTTTCCTCTTCTGCTAAATGGTAATAACAGTGCCAGCTTCTCAGGGTCGTTGTGAGGGTTAGATGAGGTCATATACGTCAAGTGCCTAAGCCAGAGGCTGGCCCGCAGTGTCATTGTCATTGGGTACCACTGAGTTGATTTTGACTCATGGCAACCCCAGGGGACAGAGTAGAACTGCCCTGTAGGGTTTCTTAGGCTGTCATCTTTAAGGAAGCAGATTGCTAGGTCTTGCTCATATAGAGGTATTGAACTGCCAGCCTTTTAGTTGGCAGCTGAACGCTTAGCCGTTTGCACCACTAGGACTCCTAGGGCCTCAGTGTGAGCTGCTTGTCACTGTTGCTGTTTCTCCCAGAGCCCATCTGCAGAGGCCGGGGGTTTGGTACCGAGGCTGTCCTCATGATGATGTTTTATGGTAAGAAAGGACATGATGACACACGAGGAAGTGGCCAGGCCCTGGGTGAGGGCTGGGGTGTGTTAGGAGGGGCAGGCAACAGGGGTCTCCCTGGGAAACTGGCCCTAGAGCCAGGGCCTGGGTGGGAGCTGGGAGGGGGCGGGCCTTCATTCTGCTGCTCACCCCTGTCTATGGTCTCCTTGGGGAGGAGTCACCAAGCTGGGTCTGACCAAGTTTGAGGCTAAAATTGGACAAGGGAATGAACCGAGCATCCGTCTGTTCCAAAACCTTCACTTTGAGCAGGTAAGGACGTCACTGGGGCTGGCAGGGAAGGGGCGGGGCCTGGGTCTCTGTGGTGGACTGGAATGTGTGGCTGGAACTTCACGGGTCCTGCTGTCCTGGCTCCCATAGGTGGCTGTGAGCAGTGTCTTCCAGGAGGTGACACTCAGACTGGCTGTGAGTGAGCCGGAGCGGCAGTGGCTGCTGAAGCAGACCAGCCACGTGACGGAGAAGCCATATAGATCTGGGTGGGCAGAGCCCCACTGATGGCCAGGCCTCGTGGGCAGCCGTCCAGGTGGATGGGTGTGGGGACTGCACGTTCCTAAGCCCAGAGCCCTGTCATGTACAGGGTCTCAGGGCCAGTGCGGCTGGCGCCTCCCCAGGCCGGGAAGACTTGCACGGCCCAGGCCTCTCTGATCCTGGACTTGCCTCTGCCTCCTCAGGCTGGCGGTATGGCCGAGCCCAACTGCGGGCCAGCCCCTCCGTTCCCTTCCAGCCAGGCCCGCACTCAGACTGGAGCAGATGAATGAAGCCTTGGATGAGTCAGGGTGGAGGTGGGAACCAAGGTGACAGGGACCCTGGACAATGGACAGGGGACAGGGAAGCTGCCCCGGGGCTGAGGCCCTGGCCGGAGTAAAGCTTACGGTAGGCTGGCTTCTCGTTTCGTCATTCTGCCTGCCCGGGAAGGGCTGCCGAAGCCCTGTCTTAAAGTGTGGATGGATGGGGCAGGGCTGCCGTGTCCTTTTGTCCTATAGAAACAGGCAGGGTGTGGACCCAGGGTGGCGTGGAAGGGAGGGACCGTGGCCCTGGAAGGACAGACAGGCTGCTCAGAAAGGGGGCAAGTGGCCTTGCTCCTCCTTTGTCTTTAGAGCCAAATGGTTTTGAACATAGAGGAGGAAAAGTTCTTCTGGGAAATAGCTGTTTGTAACTGGAGAACAGCCCTGTTGTCGAAGCTTGTGGCTTCCCACTCAGCCACAGGCTCTGGGAGGAGCAGAGGCCGGTTGTCAGAGTCCTGAAGGGGAGGGTTGGGCCACCTGGCTCCCTGAGCCTCCTGCTTTTGGAGCCGCTGTACCTGGCAAGGCCACACGGGGGCAGTGGAGGCACAGGGTCGGGATGGCCAGGCAGCCTGGCAGCAACTGCCCACCTGGCCGCCTGCTTAAGGGTGGAGCTGGCCCGGGCTCCTCCGCCTGAGCTAGGCAACACCCTGGACTCCTAGCCTTCCACCCCCGTCATAGTTGGTGGTAGTGTCACACGCAAGCAGGTGTTCTCAGAACTCGGTCGTGGAGACTTCGAGGACGTGTAGGGCCTTTTCCAGAGTCCCTGGGTGGTAGAAACAGTTAAATGCTAGACCAGCCCAAAGGTTTGAACCCACCCCGGGGATTCTTGGAAGACCTGGTGGTCAGTTTCTGAAGGATCCCAACCATGAAAACCTATGGAGCTGCTCTCAGTTGGAATGAACTCTGTGGCAGCCAACAGCAGGGCATTTTCAAGGTGGGGAAGCATCCCTCAGTTGTGCCGGAGCCAGATATGCTCTGCCTCTAGCTCCCAGGCCCCTCTGGGACTGGACTACGCAGGTGAGGAACAGTGGAGTGAAGAACGGGCCTGACCCGAACAGCGCAGTTCTCGCTGCGGCCCCCTCTGTGCTGTGCTCTGGGCCCCTCAGCTGCAGGAGTTCCCAGCAAGCCATCTGTCCCTTCCTCCTGTCTTCAGCTGTCAGTCACAGGTCCCCCAGGGCTTCCCCATTCAGGCAGGTGAGTTCAGGAGGGCCTTCACAACCCTGTGGGGCAGTCCTTAGGCCTGCTGCACCTGAACGTGGAGGCATCTGTCCGGGGCCAAAGAGTAGAGGCAGGGGTGGGGTGTGGACAGGCCAGGCACAGGCTGTGTAGGGCAGAGGGTGATGGGTGCCACGATAAGGGCTTTGGACGGTTCCTTTTCATGTTAGTGGAATCCAAACCCTGACTAGGGGCTGAGATGGACAATGGCCGATTGTCTCTCAGCCTAAAGTTTCCTCCAGTTCCCAGCTCAGTTTACTGTCTTCCATCTTTACTTATTCCCTGGTCCCAGGATCCTGGCTTCTGAGTGGTCTCCTCATAGGCTGGGTGGAGAGTAGCCCAAGGCCGCCTTCCCTTTCTTCTCTGAGCACCTCTCTTGAATCTCCTGGCCCAACAGCCTCAGGTCTGCCAGGCCACCCTGGCAGGGCTCCAGGACGACCTCAGGGCTAGAGGTACAAACCACCTGGCCCCAAACCGGTCACCTTCCAGGGCTCTTGTGGAAGGACAGGCATTTTGTCCTTGGAAAGTCCCCTCTGGCTCACCTGCTATCCAGCCTGTCCTGGGGCTTGCTGAGGACCAGTTTGTTTTCCCTAAATACTGGACAATTAGCCTCCAATCAGGTCAGTGGCCAGATAAGATAGTGTATGTGGCGCCAGCTCAGGCCCACCTCACTGCCCGCAGGCAGAGATTAAAGGCAAGTTCCTGATCTGGCCCCATCTGTGATGCTGGCACTCCTGGGGTTAGAGACTCTCTGAGCCGGGTCTCTGCTCCCACCCCATTGGGCCCCCAGCTGCACCAGTGCTCTGTTTGGCCATGCTGAGTACTGAGTTGGAGCACACGGTGCTGGGTGGGTCCTGTCCCCCCAGATCTGCATGTGGAACTCAGTGGCTGGGGGGCAGGCATGTGGTTTTGAGGCTCTCTAGTTAAGCTGTACATCTCCCACTCCCTGGGCTTGGGGTGACAGGGAGCCCCAGATGGTTCTCTCTCCAGCTGCACAACCCCCCTTCAGTTAAAGGCCACCCTAGGAACCCCTGTTCTGACATTTCTGACTTTCCTCCCCGAGGATAAAGCATTATCTCAAGGAAGACACAGAGACAAAGAGGTTTAGAGGAACCAGTTGAATTTCTGCTGGTGTTTCCTTACAGCAGTGGTGCCTGGAGGCGGGCTGGGCAGGGGTAGCCAAGCCCTCGCCTGGCTGCCTGGGTCTCCAGGAGGTGGAAGCAGAAACAAAAAGGTTGAAGGCCAAGGCCACTGCTATGGCCCGGACTGCAACAACCAGAAAAATCATGTTAATCAAGGAAACAAAAATCCCTCTAGACTCTGGTACGCACTCTTAAAAAAAATTAACGAACAAAAAGAAGATGCCCGAGTCATGGCACTGGGGATGTCAGACCCCCTGCTGCTTAGAGCTGTGGGTGCTGCGAGCAGTCGGAGTTCTTGATCAGCCCCGGACCCGTCAGCACTGGGCCTGTGAGGGAAAACCACCTTTCCCCTGGTCCCACAGTCCGTGCTTGGTGCAGGCTCCAGCAGTGGCCCCAGGTAGGGTGTCACAGGGTCACCAGGTTGGGCGAAGCACGCAGGGGGCGGGTGGGGGCAGAGTCTGCTCTCTGATTGGAGCAGGACAGAAAACCGCTTCCCCTAAAGTAAGGTAACATAACAGTTCTCTAGAAAAATCAGGCTCGCCATGAAGGGAGACGTTGGTGCTGATTCGTATGTCAATGCAGGGGTGAGTGGGGAGGAGGAAGAGAGTGAGGCCGGTGGGGCTGGCTCTGGCCCTCCCCGGCCCCAGGTGGCCGTCGAGGTGCTCAGAGGTTGCTGAACAGTTCGTTCTTCTTGCTCCAGTCCATCTGCGGGGCCTGCTTGCTGCTGCGTTTCTGGTGCGCCCTCTCCTTGGCCACGGCCAGGGAGATGTTGAAGTCCAGGATGGGGTCAGAGGAGGTGGAGGAGGGCGCTGTGGAGTCCTGTTTCTTGGGGCTGTCCTGGGAATTCAGCTGCTAAGAAGGGGGAGGCAGAGAGAAGGGGGTGAGGTGAGCCTTGGTGGAAGGGCTCCCGTGGGGCACTTGCCCAGGGAAGCCAGGTCACGAGGACAGTGTGGCGCAGCATGTGACCTCAGAGGCGGGCCAGCGTGCCAGGAAGACGCCAGGCCTGGGAATGGGCTTCCTGGAATCTGGTCGCCACCCCCAGCCCCGCGTCAGCCTACCTCCTCACTGGTGTCACTGGAGGTGGACCTCGCCAGGGCTGGGCTGGGACTCTCGGAGGCTGGCTTGGCCACGGCTTCCCCACTGTTCTCCTGGCAGAGAGAGGCCGGGGTGTGGGATGGTAAGGGAGGGGGTGAGGAAGTGCTGAGGGGGGAAGGGTGAACCCAGGGAACACAGGTACCTTGCCCCCATTGCCTGAGCCTTTGGGGAATTTAGTGGTCACATCCTCTGAGGGTCACATCCTCCTGGCCCCCTCTCCCCAGTGCCCCTTTTAGGCACTGACACACCTTTTGGGACGGTGACTGAGGAGGGGCTTCTCTGCTTGGCCTGGGGGCACGTGTGATACCCCCTGAATCTCCAGCCCTGTGGCCCACCTGACTGTTTCCCTGGACTCGAACCCTAACCCCAAAGTGGCCAAGCATGGCTTTGAGGATAAAAGGGCTGGAGATTCCTAGACCCCCAGATGGGGGTGACAGAGGCTCAGAACCCAGCCCGCCAGAGAGGGACGCTTTGCACAGCCTCCAAGGCTGCCTGTCCGAGTGAAGACTGGCTGGCCGTCAGCTTGGCCCTGAGCCCCCTCCCGGGCTCCCCCATGGCTTCAGCTGGCACCTGGCCCTCCTGTCCCTTCCCCAGCCTCCACCGCCTTCCCTTCCCTTCTTCCAGGCCAGGGGGAGGGGGGCTTTGTTCTTCCAGCCTAGACTGGAAGTAACAGGGCCTGCAGCGCGACCAGACACTGAAGCTCTGTTCTTGCGGGGAAGAATGGCCCCTTCTGTACCGTGGCAAGCTGGAGGCGGGGGCCTGTCACCCAGGATGGTGGGCTGTGAGGGGCTAGCCAGGCCTCTTCCCCTGACTGCCTGCGCCCTGAGTGGAGGCCATGGGGACACTGGAAGGGTGCCCCTGCAGCTCAGGAGGGAGCTAGGGACCCTGAGGTCTCAACCCTCCCCCTGGCCGCACCCTCCTCACCCCCAGGACCAAGGGCCAGACCAGAGTGGTGTCCTACCTTCTGGATCTCCCCGTTGGTGAAGGGCTCGGGCAAGGGACCTGGGTGGAGGGAAAGAGAAGTTAACCTGAAGCTCTGAAACAAGGGCAGGAGGGGGTGAGTTGGAGGGTTTGGCAAAAAAATCACATCTTCCTTCCCGAGTCACTGTTCATAGGACGTTCCACTGCAACCCACTGTAAGCACTGCATTGTGACCCAGCACACACAAAGACCGTGTGCGTGTGTGTAGCACGTTTCACAGAAGAACACGGACTCTTACCCACTGATCTGATCCTGTGGTTTAGAGAAGGGGGCTGTTTGAAATGGGGTTCAAATCCCATGCTGGCTGCATCTGAATCACCGGGGAAGCTTGTTAAAAATACACATTTCCAGGCCTCGCCACCAGAGATTCTGATGGAGTGGGGCTGGGACAGGCCTAGGAATCAGCATTTCCCAAAGCTTCCCAAGCAGATCTGGCACGGCACCAGAATCGGAACCGCACCCCAGATTACGGTCAGCACCTGCCTCGGCTGAAAGAACTCCAGCTTGTGAATCTGGAAATGGGGGTGGGGCAAAAAGGCCCAGGGCAGTGTCTTGGGTGTCCCCACCTCCTAAGGTGGGAAATTTCGTGGTGGCCGCAGGGGTCAGAGGGAGAGGAGACAGGCCTCGGGGAGGAGGCCCCGCATGGCCATGGGCAGGGCTGGCTGGGTGAATGTTTCTGAACTCTTAGTTTTAAGTTAATGGGTATCTTTTCCTTTTCCCAGGGCATGGTCAGATACACCTGACTCTCCACCTTGCCCCCTTTTGATGCCCCCAGCCTTGCCGGCTGGAGAGAGCACTGATGGGACACAGGGGCATGCCCCGTCTCTCAGCCAGCTCCTTCCCCAGCAGTTCCAGGCTGTTCTATGGTGGACAGAATGAAGCCTCAGCCCAGACAGGCTGTGGGGGGAGCATTCCTTTCTATGGGAACACCCCCAGTTGGGAGGAGTAGGGAGAAGACACCACCCTGGAGGAGCCCCGAGGGACACTGCCCCGGCCTCCTGTCCCTCTGCAGGTCCTCTGGCCAGAGGCTGCATGGCTGTGGTCTCGGGGCCCTTCCTACCCAGACAGACAGAAGACGGAGGAACATCCAGGGCTGATTACTTGGGGGTGAGAGAGGAGGGGGAGAAGAAGGGTGGTGAGAAGGCAAAGAAAGGTATTTGAGGAACTGAGTAGAGTCCAGATTCCAGCTGTCTTCCCCACGCCAAGTCCCCAGGAGCAAGGCTGGGGTTTCTTGGGGCCCCAGGTCCCTGCCTCACCTAGGAAGAGGATTCCCAGAGTGTGGCACAGTGAATTACGCGGTATGGCTTTTCTGGTCATAGTCTTTGTAACTCCCACCAGATTACTGGGGTGGGACCGTGCAAATAAAGTATGTAGAACTCTGATGTTGGGATTGGTTAGTTTTGTCACTGCCAGGCTTAAAATGAGCTCTCCTATAGCTGGTGGTTCAAACCCACCAGCCACTCCTTGGAAGGAAGGATGGGCAATCTACTTTCATAGTGATACTGCCTCAAAACTCAAGGAGGGGTTGCTATGAGTTGGGTCCGACACGACAGCACATAACAACAACAACGACAACAACAACAATAGCGGTTCAAACCCACCAGCCACTCCTCGGAAGGAAGGTTGGGCAATCTACTTCGTAGTGATACTGCCTTGGATACCCAAAGGGGTCGCTGTGAGTTGGATCCAACTCAACGGCACATAACAACAACAACAGAGGCAGAGGGGGGATCTCACTGCCATCAAGAAAGAAGAGCTGGAGGTGAAGTAGAGTGTGTCCTTGGGCCCAAGATCCCTACGGTCGACCTCCTTGGCAGAGATGTGTGGCAGAGAGAGATGCCTGGCAGAGAGATGGTCACAGTGGAACCAAGAAGCACAAGAGTGGTGAGCCACCTGGCCCACAGAGCAAGGAAGCTGGGTGCCCTTGGGCAGGAGGCTTGCTGGTGGAGTGGGGTGCACCTAGGTGTCCCGATCGGCAGAGCTGAAAGAGCTTTGTACCACTTGCCTGAGCAGGGCAGAGGCCAGGCCGAGAGGCCAAGGGCCAGAGAGGGGTGCCTGAGGACATAGCAGAGGGGAGACTGTCCTGATTGAAGAACTGTATCCTGAGCTTGTTCCTGGACCTGAATTGTAACCTGTCACTTCCCTAATAAAGCCCATAATCATTGAGTATTGTCTTTGAGTTGTGTGTGGCCATTCCAATGAATTATCAAGCCCAGCAGAGAAGTAGTGAGTGCCATGGGAGGGGTGGCTGGTGTCAGAATTGGTAAAAGGCTGGAGGATGGCGGCATGTCTGGCCTCAGAGGAATCAGCTTTGGGCTGCTGATGGTGATTCCGTCTTCCTCTTGTGAAGTTACAGAAGGCGAGAAGATGCGGCCTCCGTGCCCTTTTTTACACTGAGTTATCCCGTTTCCACGAAGTTGAGATGAGGGTAAAGCACTGCCCCCTCCCACGTCTAGAGTCTACTCAGGATTTCCAATGACCTGTCCCCCTCCCAGGAGCCCCTATTGGACTACTTGGGGATAGGGCCTCACCCTTGGGACACTGCCAGCCGGGGCCTGAGTGTGCGTGGTAGGACCCATGTGTGCACCCTCAACTACAAATATACCCCTGACACCCTGGGGAGGTCCCACCCACTGCAAAGTCCAAAGAGGCTCCACCCTCACATGACAGCAAGCTCACACCCCTCGGGGAGCCATCTTCCAGGGAGAAAGTCCAGGCCAGGGAGCAGAGGGACGCTTAACCCCTCCCTGCCCTTGAGTGGTAGCCCAGCCCCGTTCAGCACAGGCCAGGGCAGGGGGAGGTGCCAGGCTTGGCAAGGGGATGGTTGGTGGGGGATGGGGAGGGCAGGGGCCCAGGGAGCAAAGGGGGGCCCACCACTCTCCACAGCCAGCATGCCTGCGTTTCCAAGGCAACCTGAGAGAGGGGAGGGGGCAGACACCCGGCCCTTGTCACTGGACTCTGATCAGACCAAGTGAAAAGGCTGGGAGGCTGCCCCAGCTTTAACCCTCTCCTGAGTCTCACTGCCCTGACAACCTGTCCGCAGTGGAGGGGTAGGGGGCTCAGGCCTGGAAATCTCAAGTTCTGCCCCATCTCTCACCACCCCTCATGCCAGGGTACCCCAGTCCCATGGTACTCCTGCTAAGCCCTGTTCCTTTCCTGACACTAGACCCTCTTCTCCCCCAACCCACACCTCTCAGCCACCCTGGAAGTAAGTGTCAAAGCCAGGAAGCTGCCCGACCCCCACCTGGGACATGTAGAGTCTTGAGCATGGACTCGGGGGCCTCCAGCCGCCCACCCCCTGCTCACCATCCAGATGCTCCTGAGATGGGATTACTTTGCATTTCTTGAAGAACTCGTCGGTCTCCTTGTCCACTACCAGCAGCTTGGTCTCATCCCCACTGGCCTTGATGGCAGACACCACGTCCCCATGCTGTTTGCCCTCCATGCAGACCCCATTCACCTGCGGGGAGGGAGGGGCTGTGCTCACAGGTGTCAGCTCTCGGGAGGGTAGGGGAGGGAGGCACCAGGCGTCCTCTCCATCCTCAGCCAGCCTGCGATCTGGCCTAGTCATAGTCCTGAACTAGGCCAGGTGGTCCTCTGACTTGTCAGTCAGTTGGGGAGAGAGGCACAGGGGAAAAGCCAAAGGAAATGTTCAGAGGAGACTAAACAAACACAGCTGGGAGCCTGGGGTGGCCTGGCTGGGCCCCGGCCTCTCTGTGGACTTGCTGTCTGACTCCTCTCTGGGCCTTGGTTTTCTCACGTGTAAAATGAGAAGTCTTGGACAAGCTGATCTTCCAGCTCTAAGGTTCTCAGACTCTGTGATTCTGGGACCTGCCCAAGTCCTTTCCTCCCGTGGAACACAGCACGGGCCTATGCAGTCAGCGTGCCCAAGTGCTTGCTCAAAAGAGGCTTTGTCACCTCCCTCCAACCCCTGAGCCTGGCATGGAGGCCTGCGGTAGGACGGGACTCTGGGGTGGCCTAGGCACCCACCTGGATTGATGGGCACCTGTGTGTGTCTGCTCAGTGCAGAAGAGCCCAGGGGAGAATAGGGCAGGAAAGAATTCTCTGTTGGTCCATCGTCTGTCCATCCATCTATCTACCTATCACCCATCTATCACGTTCCCTCCCTCCCACCCCCCATCCATCCACTCACCCATTCACCTGAATAGCCTCCTTCCCTCCCTCCCATCCCCCACCCACCCACTCACCCAGCATTTACAGGCTCGTTCAGCCCTGTGGGGCTAACCAAGGAGTAAGTGGTTGGATGGCTGCCCTAAGGACCTAATGGTCTGCAGGGAGGCCAAGGAGGATCCTGGAAACAGGCTGGCAAAGAGGGTGAGGGCACGTTACCTCCACGATGCGGTCCTGGGCCCGGAGCCCCGAGGCCTCAGCCGGCGAGTCTGGGTCTACTGCCCGGATGAACTGGCCAGGCTTGGACTTGTCACTGTGCAGGTTGAAGCCATAGCCATTGGTGCCCTTCTTCATGGCACAGAGCCGAGGCCGGAGCTCCCGCTGCGGGGGTGGGGCGGAGGGTAAACACAGTGATGTTCCTCCCTCCTCCCCTGCCCTCTGCTGACCACACTCCTCCCCCACCAAGAAGGCCAGGTTCAGGACTGATGCAAGTTTGCTAGATCCCGGAGCGCAGCATGAGAGGATGCTGGCCCAGGCTTGGAAGACCCGCGTGGAGGCCCAGCATTGCGGCAAACCACCTGTGTGAGCCAGGACACGACTCTTCCCCTGCCCGAGCCCCAGTTTCCCTTCTGAAGACGAGAGGGGGACGTGGTGAGCCCTCATGTTCCTTCCCCTCTTGACACTCTCAGGTTAACATGTTATTTGGAATGATCCCTTATCCCTTTGACTGGGGCCCCCAACCCATCTGTACTCTGTTCCCTGCAGGGGGAGGCAGGGCCAGCTGTTTACTGCTCGTCAGCACATTTACAGGCCAGCCTTTCCTCACTCCCACCAAGCACAGTGGCCAGCTGGCTCCTTCTGCCAAGATGGGACAATCCAGGCAACCCCAGGCCTGGATGAAGCACAGCACGGGGGGCACCCTGCTGGCAAGGCCAAGGCTTGGCCACCTCAGCAGCTCCAGGGGCCCAGAGACCCTGTTGGTCCCCAAGGAGCCTGAAATGGGGGTGGGACACAGAGAAACAGGGCTGGGCTATGGTCTCATTAAAAGGGTCAAGGGTCAATGATCTCTCTTGAGCACTCAGATGCTCACTGCAAACGGTTTGGTTCACCTTGGAAGCTGTAGCCTCAGACTCATTCACACGCTGGAGGGAATGGGGCGAGGGTCAGGTTACTGACACCTTGCCGAGGACCAGGACCGAGAGGTCTCCAGGTCCCTCTCCCCTCCTCCCAGGCTTGGGGCAGGGCAGCTGCCAAGTCCCTGACCCGTGTCCAACTCTGCCACCCACTAGCTCTGTGACCTGAGGCAGGTTATTTCCTTCTCGGAGCCTTGGGTTCCTCTAATGACATCTACCTCCCCGACTGCTTTATGGCCTCAAGGAGGTGATTACTGTGGATGGGAGCACTTTAGGGGCCGTAAGCCCTGTGCTGCCACGACTTTGTCATGTCATTGAAACTGACGAAGAGTCCTATTAAGCTGAGCCCTGACTTTTGTACGGGTGCTGTGGAGTGGACAAGGCAAGGGAGGGTGGGGAAGGAGAGGCTGCCGGTCTCCTGCCCCAACCTGCCTGTCGCAGGGGGAGCGTCGCCAGCTGGGGAGAAGCTGCTTTCCGCAAGGAGCAGCCCTCCGAGGGGTAGGCCCCAGCATGACTTTTCCTTTCTTCAAATGCCTGGGCGGGTCTTGCGTGTCTCTGTTCAGGATGTTGGAGGGGGTGTGGGGAGGCCCAGGACAGGAAGGAGGAGTTAACCAGCTGGGCCTTGCTCAGCTGCCACTCACCCAGATCTGGGCTAGAAGCCGCTGGGCTAGTCTCTCCTAACCCTTCTCCAGGGCCCACAGCAGGGACTCCTCACCCCCAACAACAACCAAGACAAATACCTGAACAATGAAATTAAAGTGAAGGGCTGCCTGGAAAACCAGAGGGCAGCCCTGACACCATCCTCCTCTCCCCTTGGCTCTCACTGGACCCACCTCCAGGCTCCCCCAGCAGCCCTCCCCTGGCCCACCCCCAGCTCTCCAGGATCTTGTTCCCGGAGGGAGTAAGTGAAGGTCTTCTCTCCTCCTGTTAATCCGGCCACAAAGCTGAAGGCCCGGCTGCCAAGGTGAGCAGGAACAGGTCTGACCAGTTGCCATTGCCACCACGGGGACAGGCTCAGCTTTCTCAATCTACCGGGGTAGGAGAAAGTGGGGAGGGTGAATCCCAGGACTGGGGGGGCGGGGTGCAGCTCCAACGCTCCTGCCTCCCTGCACAGTCTACCCACTCCAAAGCCTTCTCACGGCTGCCTGGCCAGGCTCATCGGCCCCATTTCCGAGATGGGGAAATGGAGGCTCAGAGACGCCTGATGTCACGCGGCTCTACAGTGGCGGTGCCAGACCTCCAACCTGGGTCTCTGGCTCGAACCCTAGGCTCCTTCCACCAGAGGGCTGGCCAGAGAGGAGGTGGCCCACTCAGAGCTGAGGCCTCCGCAGGCGTCAGACGCAGTGAGGGGCAGGCTCTGGGCTCAGCGTTGCAACCCTGCTTGGAGCTGACAAAACCGCAGCCTTCCTTCCGGGTGCCCAGGCCTCTTGCAGACCCGCGTGGGGGTGCTGCAGCTGAGCTGAGGGATAGAGCTGGGGTGGGCTGGGGGCGCTGCCTGGTGGTGCCCACCTGCAGACTCGGGGTTCTGTGGCTGGGGGCTTCCCTTCTGACCCCCAGGAAGCTTTCCTGCACACACACGTCATCACACTGGGAGGCCGGCTGAGGCCACTCCCCCCTGGCAGCACCAAGCCATGAGGGTGAGGGCAACAGGCCCAGAGCAGGGGCTCAGGCCTCCGCTCTTCCCCTTGCCTGCACTGGCCCTACTCCACTGCCCTCTGGGGGGGTCACCTGCTGGGGCTTCAGGGCCAAGAACGTGGCTGGGCCAGGGTGGCCCTAGGTAGTTTTCTGAAGCACAAGGAGTTCTCTCTGTTCCCTGCTCCCAAGTCCCCGAAAGTGCCCTCCCATCCCAGGAGGGGCTGGGGCTTCCCACTCTCCCAGGAAGACAGGTCTGGTTCCTCTCAGCCCCTCCCTCACCAGGAGACACCCAGCTGTCTCCAGGAGGCGTCCCTGCCAGCTGCTGAGTCAGGTCATCCAGGGGCCATCCCGGAGGGGTGGAGGCCCAAGCTAGCAGGAGGAGTCCTGGGCAGTTTCCCTGGGCATCTCTGGACGTGTGTGTTCCCAAAGCCTATCAACAAGACAGGGGAGGGGTTAGGCACTGGGCCCTTCACCCCCTGCTGGGCAGGGCCTGGGTGTGTAGCCCCAGGAGCTGCAGAAGGACCTCGTACCACAGGGCCAGCTCCAGAGCAGGGGGTGGGGGCTTTCATGGGAACATGGCCCCGGAGTCTGTCCAGAGCCTGCTGATAATTCCAAAGGGCAAGGTGGGACTCCCAGTGATGATGAGGGCCCAGAAATAAATGCCAGGATCTGCTCAGGGAGGAGACTGGCAGAGACCTAGGGGAGAGGGAAGAGCGGGAAGCAATGACAGCCAACGGGCAGTGTAGTGAGTCGGGACTCCAGACAAGGCCAGACCAACTTCCAGAAAAGACCCTAGTGGTGAGCCACTTCCAGACCCCTCTCCTAACTCGGATTCCTGGGTTCGCTGGGGCTGCCCCTCCATCCCCCTCTCCACCAGGGAGTCCAGCCCCACCCCAAGTGGCCGCCTGGTCACCTCCACCCACGCAGCCCTGGGAGTGGACCTCGGAATTCAATAGGCGCCATCAGCAGCCACCTGGAAAGCTGCAGGAAAGTCGATACCTAATCCCGGTGACTGTCTCTGGGGAACAGGCCCAGGGCTGTTCCTTGCTCCTCCTGGGGGAGGAGTGCAGGTGCTGGGGGCTGCCGCCCTCGCCCCTCCTGGCCGACGCCATAGTGATAGGCCCTGTAGAAACAGCCAGGCTGCTTCCACACCTCAGAAACCAGAAATGGGAGCCAACTCAGGCTCCGGAGGGGGCAAGGGGGAGGAGCGAGGGAGACCACCACTAGGATGGCTGGGGGAACAACAGAGGTGATCCCCACCCCCAGCCCAGCAAGGGCTTGTTTATGCAAAGGAGGGGGCCTGATTGTAGGGAAATCACCCCCTCATGGAGGGGCAGGGGCATGGCAGGAGTGTGTGCAGCAAAACCCTGGCTGCTCTGGGAGGCAGCTCAGCCCATTCCTCGGTATCCTGGGGACACAGGCTTGGTCCTGGCGCCGGCTCTGCTGGGACGCCGGGATGGAGTGGTTGGCTGTGGGGCTGGGCAGACTAGGGAATGACCAGGAGCTCAGACCACTAGGCCAGTGTCCAGAGTGCCAGGCACGGGGTGTCCTTGCCTCACCCTAAGTGAGATGCAAAGGGCTCAGCTGCCACTGTCCACGTGCCCCACAGCCCTGATGCCACCCCATTTTAACCTACTGGATCCCTCCCCACACCCTCCAAGTTGGTGCAGGCCAAAGAGCAGTGGACCCCTCCGTTTGCCCAACTTGTGCTAGCACTGCCTGCTCTGCAGGGGGAAGGCTCTTTCTGGGGCCCAGCAGGGTGGGGCCAGGGAGGAGATCCAGGCTAAAGTGGGGGCTGCTTCTCTGACACCCTCATTCTCGGGGCCCTGAGCCAGGTTCTCCCTCTGGCCAGAGACCCACGGGAGTAGAGTTTGGCTCAGGTCTTCCCAGGGCTGGGCAAGCCTGGAATGGAGCAGGCTGGTACCTGGGCTGCTGCCTGGCTGGACAGCATCCAGGGCTGGCCATTCCATGCCTGCCTGCATCATTCCTCATCCTTCAACCTCCTCCCAGAAGTCACTGGACTTAACTCCTTGTGGGCAGTCCCAAGAAGCTATGTAAAGACCTTTAAGGAGCTTTTGAAATTGGGTCTGGACACTGAGATACTAAACAGCAGCTCCATTGATTAACCCCTGTGTGCGTGGTGCAAACGGGTAACGTTAATGTGCTGAGCTGCTGAGAGGTCGGAGGTAAGAGCTCACCCTTGAGGCGTCTCAGAATCAAGGCCTGGAAATCTACGTCCCCAAAAATCAGCCACTGAAATCTGTATGGAGCAAATTTTACTCTGACACATATGGGGTCACCGGGAGCCGGAATCACCTCGATGTCAACAGTTTTTTTTTCCTACTGGTTACCATTTATTCAACACTTACTATGTGCCACATGAAACCCATTTACACCCTTGTCAGGAAGGTATTTCTGTCCCCATTTTACAGACAGGGAAACTGAGATTCAAAGAGATTGAGTAAATTGCTCAAGAACAACATCTACTAGGAGAAGGCAGGATTTGAACTCAGATCTAGAGCAGCACTGGTCAATAGGAATCCAGTGTGTAATTTTAAGTTTCCTAGTGGCCATGTTGGGAGCTCTGGTGGCATAGTGCCTAAGGCACTTGAT